CCGGCCCTCCAACGGTCTGAGGGACAGTGAACTGGCCCCCTGTTTAAAAAGCTTGAGGACCCCTGCTATAAACATTTCAAAGCGGTCTTTCCGTTCCTGTCCTTAGCTCATTGCAGACCAGCCGCAGGCAGTGTCTGCCTGGCAGTGGTCCACAGAGCACGCTGAGTGGCCCTGCTGTAGGGGCCCCGCAGAATTGTGTTTTGGCACACTCTTTGTCCGTAGTAACAATATCAGCCTCTGGTAATATGCATGGGCCTTTGGTGCCACAGAGAGAAAAATGGAAGGTGTATTAGTCCGGGTTCCCCAGAGAAACATAACCAATAGGATGGATGTGAATATAGAAGGATTTATTGTAAGGAATTGGCTCACATGGTTATGGAGGCGGAGAAGCCCACAGTCTGCAGCTGGCAAGCTGGAGACCCAGGAGAAATGATGGTGTTAGCTCCAGTCCGAGCCTCAGGTCCAGTCCAGGCAGAAGACCAGTGTCCCAGCTTCACAGTCAGGCCGAGAGAATGAATTCTCCCTCCTCTGCCTCCATCGATGGGCTGAGGCTCGTCCACGTCAGGGAGGGCAACCTGCTGTACTCAGTCTGTGGCTCGGATGTTCCTCTCATCCAGAAACAACCTCACAGACAGCTCAGAGTAATGTTTAACCACGTATCTGGGTACCCCGGGGCCTACTCATGTTGACACATAAAATTAACCTTCGCTGAAGGGCACCATCTCATGTCAATGTGAATGGGGCTCTTTGGTTGATTACTCCACCAAGAAATGTACCCGTTCTTTGACCCTTAAAACAGGAACCACCCCTTTGATTTTTAACCCCCGGACACCTCGTCCATTATGTGACCAGAGAATCAGGCTCCCTGGTGCCCGGGAAATGGACTCTTCTTCAGCTCCCGTGCTTTCCATTCAAATAGCCCTCCTGCCGATGCAGCCAGCTGCTTGCTGACACCACCCGCCACTCACCAGGAACCCTGGTGCTGCCCAACCCTTTGCCCACCTGGTCCCTCAGAACCGTGGTACACGGAGCCAGCCAGCTTCCCTCCGAGCCGCCCCCCCCCCCATCACCACGTCCTCCCTGACCCTCCTTCCTAACCCAGAATGTTTGATCTTCAATCCGTTATACCCGTGACCACCTCCTCTTCCTGTATCCTGTTTCATATAACCCTTAGCAAATAATTACTGATATTTATTGAGAATGTCTGGTGCTAAGTACAGTGCTTTCCATACCTTATATTAAATTTATAAAAACACTAATCAGTATGCATCAAAACCCTCATTTACAGAGGAGGAAACAGGCTTACAGAAGATAAGTAACTTATTGACATGGGTATTGAAGGCAGGGGTAGGATTTAAATCTAACACTGTTTTTTTTCCAAAAGTCCTGATTTTTAAAAATATATATTTTTTATTGATTTCAGAGAGGAAGAGATAGAAACATCAATGATGAGAGAGAATCATTGATAGGCTGCTTCCTGCATGGCCCCGACCAGGGGTCAAACTCACAACCCGGGCATGTGCTTACAAACCGTGAACTCCTGGTTCATAGGTCGAGGCTCAACCACTGAGCCACACCAGGCGGGCAGAGGTCCTGATTCTTAAACATAAAGTCATACTGCCTTACAGAAGCTACAGAGAAAGTGTCCACATGATAAAGTCAGTTGAATAATATTTCTCAATGAGTAAAGTTGCCGTGAAAATATTTACATATGTTTTGTGTTCATTGCCCCCCATATAAGGATCCATCTTCAAGTTTTAGTTCAGGGCCATGTTTGTCTTTGCTGATGAACTTGTGTGTTTTTCTTCCTTCGCCAAAGAGAAAATGTTGGTTGGGTTTCCCCAGGTGGCTCGGAGTGAAATTTAGTCCTTAATTGCAGCAGCTGTTTTTAGCTTACTTGAAATAATGTTCTTCCCTCTTTTGAACATGACTTTATTTATCTGTATGGATAGTTCAATTGCACATGTTTTCTTTACCACTAGACACTGACCATTTTGGGTGCAGAGACCGAAGGAACTGAATATATACCTAATTTTGTAAGCTGCTTTTTTCCAGAAGCAAATTATGTTGGCATAGCGAATAGGATTCAGTTATGACCAGTTTTGTGGTGTGTGTTTTTCTGCCAAGTACTCACTGTTTATTATGTGCTGTACGGGGACATGGCTTGGGTATGTTCGTTTGCGTATAACTTTGTTATGCAGCTGCAAAAATGTGTGTGGCAGATGCAAAGCTTCAGACGTCCAGGTAAAAGGCGATAAAGGGAAGATATTTACAAAATGCTTGGAAACTAGAGTGATGAGTGATGAAATGGGGAGGAATGTTTCCAGGGCTGGTACTGATCGGAGAGGGGCTCCTCCAGGTAGGGAAATTCGCTAAGATCAGTGTTATCTTCCCATACTCACGAAGAACTGAAATGACAGAATAACAGCAGGTGAGGCAGCTGGGGTCCTGGGCCAGTGCTGAGAGGGAGCTGAAGGCACGCGGGAAGTGTTAGTGGTGTTGACTTCTCTCTCCCTGGGTCACGGGAATCCAGTCCTCTGTCAGACAATCACGGCACCCGGTCCCCCAAACCCCAATTGGCTTCAGGAAAAGGGAGAGTGGCCTTAACGTATAGTACGTCTGATGCTCGCTTTTCAACCTGTCCAGTCTGAAATTTAACTTGGAGAAAAGAGGAGATGGCAATTGAATTGTTCTTCCAGAAAAAGATGATTGTTTTCTATTTATGTGAAAGGACAGATTTGGCTTGGGAGGGGGACGTCTGGCTTATAACTAGCTGAAGATGTACATTATATACTTGGCAAACGTGTGCGCGCTTTGTGGCCGGCGTCCCGCCGTTGACGATCGGCCCGTGGATGTGTGTTTTGTGAGCGGTAGAGCGAGCGTTCGCGTGGTTTGGAGCCTGATGGCTGGCTCTGGCCTCAGCCCTGGGTCTGTCTAACTGTTCGGGGCCCAGAGCACTTGTGAGAGTTGTCCCAGTTGTTATGATGAATGAAAAGTACCTTTGATAGAAATAGAGAAATCAGGAAGTGTGGCCTATTTTTTAGGAAGATAATTAATTCGTTTTTAGACATCTTGAGTTTAAAACGAGAGTTTGACATCCGGATGGAAATGTCTTGGCTCAGCTGTGGCTGCTTCGTCGAAACAGCACTTAGGAGGCTTGCATTCTGGTTTTGTGTTCTTGGGCGAGCCCTGTAACTCTTAGGAGTCTCCTTGGTTGATCTCTAGGTCAGCAGTGCTCAGCCCCAGCAAGGACCTGCTGCTGTGTTGGGGACAGTAGGGGCGTGTCCAGCTGTGCCTGCCACCAGTGGTGTCCCAGGGGAAAGAAGACAGGAGCCCCACCCCTGGTGTGTGCTGGCTCCAGCATCCCAAGAGCAGGGACGATTGCTGAGTGTGGATTCTCCCCGAGTGGGGTTTGAGGGTCGGCGAGGTTTGGCTGTCCTGAGCTATCGTTCTCAGAGACTGGCCCATTGGCTGTCTTCCTGTAATTCATACCTCGTTACTCAGCAGTGGCCACAGGGGCTGCTCCGGCCGCTCCGGCTTATCCTACAGACGCAAGCTTTAGTGCCGGACAGGTCTCTACAAGTGACTTACATGCAGAATGATAGCTGTGTGGGGAGAGAGCAAGGGGTCATTCCGCTCCCTCAGAGCCCTTGGCAGGGAGGCCCTCATCCGTGCTTGAATGCTCCCAGGGACAGGGAGATTACTCCTTCCAGGGCTGTCAGTTCTCCTTCTGGGAGCGCTGCTAAGAAGATGTTCTTTAGCCACACCCTGTAATTGGCTCCCTGTTCTTCCTACCTATTCTCTAGTTCCACTCAGCGGTTTATTAGTCCTCCTAGTCCCTTTCCGGATGAGGACGCAGAGCCTGACAGGCTCAGTGGCTCCCTCCCTGTAGCAGAGCTGGGCCCTTTCTGCCGGGGAGGGCCCATCTTTCTAGCTGCCTTTCCTCTTTATCCTTTGTACCTGCCCTTTCCTTCTCCTCACCACACGCCTTTCCCTCCCCTTTCCCTTTGCGTGGAGCCTCTGGCCTGCCTTGCACTGTGGGTGACGTCTGAGGCCCAGTGGAGGTGGCCATCTGGGCAGAGCAGCTTTGCCCGGAGGGTTTGTTAGTTGAGGGTAGAGGGATGCATTAGTTCAGCGGTCCTCAACCTGTGGGTCGCGACCCCTTTGGCGGCCAAACGACCCTTTCACAGGGGTCGCCTAAGACCATCCTGCATATCAGATATTTACATTACGATTCATAACAGTAGCAACATTACCGTTATGAAGTAGCAACGAAAATAATTTTATGGTTGGGTCACAACAGGAGGAACTGTATTTAAAGGGCCAGAAGGTTGAGAACCACTGCAGTAGTTAATTTCCCCGAGAGGGCTGGAAGCTGCTTAGTTCTGGGACACCTGGAGATGTCACTCACCTTTATAGTAGGGCAGGTGCGAGTCGGGGGAGTCGGGCGTGGGGGCCGCTCCTCAAAGGTGCGGACTGGTGTGCATATTCACATAGAGCCGCTCATTCCCACCTGCTTGGAGTGCTGAGTGGAATGCCTGCTTTGCCTGGGGAAAGTGAAACCCTTGGATCTCTGCAGGTCACAGCCAAGACATCCAGTCCCTGGGCAGCCCGACATTTCTGGGGCGCACAGTCCTGTCTTATGAGAACTGAGAAAGAGGGTGTCAGGCGAGGGAGAGGAGCAGAGAGTGTTCCTGTTTGTACGGAGACAGCTTGGTGATGACATGGTGTACCACAGTCTGCAGGGACAACTCGCTTCAAATTCATAATTCAGTAGGAACAATGATGCAAGACATACAGTGGAGGAAGGGCTAGATCTTGAGTCCGTGTAGGAATGGTTCAGCCCTGGGTACCCCGGAGTTTTCCCGACTTCCCCTTTAGAGATGTTATCATGTAAAAGATAACACTGGCCATGGGAAAGCCGGGGTGGTCCTTTAAGGATGGAAAGGAGGAATGACTGACGATGTCTTTTTCTCTCGCCTCCCTCCTCCCGTGAACAGGGAGAAGATGCCTTTCCACCATGTGACCGCTGGCCTGTTGTACAAGGGGAATTACCTCAACCGGTCTCTCTCTGCTGGCAGCGACAGTGAGCAGCTTGCAAATATCTCCGTGGAGGAGCTCGATGGTAAGGAGCCCGCCCCGTCTGGGAGCTTAGCCATCCGGAGAGGCACTTGGGGCTATTGTGCATCTGAAAGGGCCAGGCTCTGGCCACCAGTTATGGCCCCGTCTGACTGTGGTGGACGG